AGGTCCTTCTCAGATACTCCTTTTTATGTTCACATTCTACAAGTGTTAGAAGTGGTACCTAAAAAATTTAAAGGAGAAGGATTTAATTCATGTCAAAGAAGCACTGAAGTGTTTGTATTGGGCCTTTAGCTGCTGAGCTCCTTCTTTGAAGTACTCCATTTTTCAGTTGGCTAACATGACCTTCTTTATACAATTGAAGTGTTTTGAGTTCCAGAGCTGCCTACTTTTACATCAATATCAGAGCTTCTTGGGGATGTGTCTGTAAATTAAAACTGCCGCCTGTTCTAGCTTACAGAGAGTGCTAGGCTCTGCCCTATTTCAACTAATGGCTGCTTAGAGTATTCCCCCAGACCCTCCGACGAGAGGCACTGCGAATGAGTGCCGCGTTGAAAATGCTTCCTTACCACAGTTTGGAACCTGGAGTTTGCTATGGATACCTCAAATGCTTTTCAGTTGGTTTCTGGTCTCTTTGCATTTCACTTTGTCTCCCTGTGAGTAGAACTGCAGGAAATCTACAGGGCAAGATCAAGAATGTTCTTGGTGCCATGAGTCAAACACCAACTCAGTTTGAATGAAAGACACCTATTTGTAAATTTGTTCCACAACTTGTTCTGTTTGGTAGCTAAGGCTGCTTGACTCCTCTTGTTCCCAAATTGATTCTCCAGGTTCTGTCAGACTTTTGGCAGTGTCCATGAACGGAAGTGACTGTGCTGAGGCACAAGTCATGTAGCTTTATTCTGCTCTGGATTATCTAAAATACTGCATCGTTTTCCTGTCAGAATACCTCCAGCAGCCTTTTCTGATTGCCTTCTGGAAATGGAAATTATTCTTGCATCCTCTGATGATTAAAATTTTAAACTTCCAATAAATGCAGCTTCTCCAGTGAAAGACTGTATCTGAGCTTCTTTAGGCATGCCCAGTTATAGGCATACTTAGTTCCCTCAAGATATTTTAGGTAGTTACTCCATTCATACTTTGCTAGTTTGAATAAAAGTGCTTGCACTTTGAAGGAATTTGAGCTACAGATAGATGCCTCTGTCATAAAATGAGTCATGCTGATAAGATTCCTTAAAGGCGCCGAGGTTCAAACCAGTGAGACACAGTAGTGAGGGGCCATGTTGACTTAATGTGTATTGTGTCGGCTGAACTGTACTGCATCTGAAACAGGCTGGCTCGTAGTCAGGCTCCTCAGGTGCTTCTGTTCCAAATTCTCCTGTGCTTTCAGTTTTGGGGTTGGTGGGAGGTATGCAGCCTCAAATATAGGCATGCCCAGATTAATTTTAAATTAAAAGGAAAATAGAATTGCATTAGCAGTGCAATTGGATTGATGCCTGAGTTGTTACAGCTTGAGCTGCTGCATTTCTGACTCAAATGCCAGTAGTACTGATGTTTTTCCCCCATGCCCTCCAAGTCATTTAGCTCAAGTTAGAAAGGGGTGATTGTGGAAAACTCATTTGAGAATAAACACTTGAGTTCCATACCTCAAGTTAACACTAAAATAGGTTAGCCGTATTTTTATCTGGAACTTCATTTCATCCCAAGTGGAGATGATAAAATATCCTTCAAAAACCACTGTAGAACAGAACTGCTGTCAGAAGATATTTTTTTTTGTATGTTCACAACAGGGTATTGAGGCTGTTGTATGTAACTTTTCTTTTGTGAAGTTAAGTTGTTCTTTCACTGAGACTTGTATGCAGTGTGATAACCGAATTCCATTGCAGTCAGAATTTGCATTTGTTATAGTAGTCATCTTAAGGCCTTGCTCTTGTCTGTGAAAGGCAGAGGTACATACTTCAAAGACAAAGAAGGCATTAGCTTTCTGTTGAAGTAGATCAAAGGAATTCAAGCACAGACTCTTTAGCGAGGAAAATCACAAGAGGCTCCCACCATTACAACTTAGTGCCTATTCAAGTTGATCAGGCTTTCTATTAAAGAATCCTGACTGAGAGGCTGAAAGCCCTTTTAGTCAGAGGGGAGAACACCCTTTGTGGCTTTTTTAGATGCATTTCAGTAATTGAGATGTACAACTGTAGCATGCAGCTTGCGCAACACATTTTTAAAACACTATTCTATAAACTTGTTATGGTGACTTTCATATTCAGGTTTTGAGGTCAGACTTAAAGTCCTGTGTAGTGAGGAGGTTCAGCCTCCTCTTGTAGGAGGAGTAAACACCACTTACTTAAATTGTCAGTATCTGCATTGTGCAGAAACCCAATTTATTACCTACCAGTAACTGGAATTCAAGATGAACTGCTCATGTATTCACTCTTTTGCTTTTCTGTCCTTTTCCCTGCTTCTGGGTCATATTATACCTGAATCTGGAGCTTAATATAGCCAGAGCAGTCAGTCTACTATTTTTTTTAAATCCTCTTTAGTACCTCATACCTTTTAATTAGTTGTTTCTAAAACATTTGAAACCACAGGGTACTGAACTGCCACCGCTGTTACTGAGCTTATGCTTACAGACAGTTTTAGCAAAGATGTTGGGCTGGCAGCTCCCAGCGAAGAGCAGCAGGCAGCAGATTCTGCAGGCTTGAACTGACTGGGAAGTGCTTCGGTTAGAGGTGTTTGATCTTAACTGGCCTGTGGGTTACAAAACTTTTTTTCTGAGCAGCTTTCTTTGGTTTTGCTGTCATATGAACAAATGTTTACAGTTCTGTGTGATTGCGAGCAGCACTGGAAGGGTGCCTGTGTACTTTAGGTTGAGGACAACGTCCTTGCGCTTTTTGGGCTGGGGGGTGGACACTGCAGACATACTGCAGCATTTGGGAATTCTCTTGGAAAGGGGGCCTGCAGTCCACTCCTGCTCTAAAACTCACAGTGCCTTCTCAGTAGCTCTTGCTTATTCCCCAGAATCCCATGCATTCTGGAGTACTCCACTTTTTCAGTGGCATGGGATAGGTATAATATATTGATATGCAGATTTTGAGCAAGAACTTATAAAACACTTGGGGAAAAAAACTAATCAACACATTACCAAATGTTTCTGTTCTTTAATATCTTTACCACTCTGGAAAAAACTGTGTGGTTTGATCTTTAAAGTGACGTAGCAAAAGAATGTCCATTTCTTTTCTCCTCTGCAAACCTTTCCCTTACTGTCTAAATGTATTTCTAGATTTGTAATGTATACCAGACCTCTGTTTCTGCTGATTCATTTTGCTCTGTTTTACCAGTCCATTAAATTGAAGGCGTAGGAAACGGAGCTGTGAGAATCTCATTTAGCCTACCAGTAGTTTGGTGCGAAGTACCAGTGAGTCCTGCAGGTCTCTAGAACTAGGGAAGTTTACAACTTTGTCAATAAGTGATAGATTCTGCACTCCAGGAGTTTCTCAGTGATACAGTAATTCTCGTAGTAACATGCCAGTAGCAACTGAAATTCGTGAGTTTGTGTACAGACAGACTTCCAGAGTCATCACAAGCATTTTAGGGTGCTCCAGTGACAATACACAATCACTGCAGCTGTAGCATTGCACAGCTGTCAGTATAGCTGCCTGCATGATGATTTAAATATCTCATGATATTAGTTTAAAAAACTTAATTTACTCAGGCTTTTTGTGTCCATATGGGAATACACTAGGATAAATGTTGCTTTTTAAAATGCAATTTTAACTTGGTTTTACCCTTTCTTTCCCCAGTATGTTGTGGTGAGCAGTAAAAAGATACTGTTCTACAATGATGAAAAGGACAAGGACCAGTCTAATCCATCCATGGTACTAGATATAGAGTAAGTAAAGTTACTGTGAGTTTTGGATACAAATTGGCAAAAGAGCATTGTGTGTGAGAACTGATAACAAATCTAGAAGCTTGGAATCAAAATTCCATAAATAATTTTTAATTTCCCATACTAGTTGGAAAACGTCTGTTTATCTGTATTTCAGGGTGCTGTTAACAGAAGCTACTACTTTTTCTTTCTCCTGCTATTGCTAAAAGTCAGAGAAAAAGTTAAATAACAATAGTGTGGCACTGTTTGTAGTCACTGGTCTGAAGTTACAGAAATGAAGGGCCTCGTCTTGTTATGACACAGAAAGGTCAGAGACAGTGGAACCTACATATTATGCTATCTCTTTTTATGATTCAGTGTAATGACTGTTTTTTCCAGTCAACAGTTGCTTTCTAAAGCCAGGCATGATGGTTATGGGATAGTTAGGGAACTGGCTGGCTGATTTTAGGTCTCATCCCCTTGCTTCATACCTTTTTCTTGCTGTCTGAGAAAGGATCAGTGTGATCAAGCCCAAAGCATTTCTAACTTTTCCAGATGGTTTCTGTTTAGAGTGACAAAATAAATGAATTGTAATACCTTTACATCTGTTATACATGAGGAAAATTGTGTCAAATATCACTGAAGCCCATTGCTGATACATGACTGAGTGTGATGTTTGAACAGCTGATGGACATTATGGGACCTTATAGAGTAGTAATTGAAAAAAGGTCTTAAAATTCGGGGATAGGTCTATCACTGACTACCAAACACAGTGGTCTGGAAGGAATCTCGAACTCAGGAAGTGCTTAAGCTGCCAATTGCTCGTAACCAGGAAAAGAGTTATTTTCTCTCTGAGCCATTTCTTATTCTCTTTTCATAAACATCTGTTACAGCAACTGTTGAAAACAGGATGTTGGGATAGATGGACTTACAGTCTTGACCCAGTATGAGATGATGTTTGTTCCAACTTTAATAGCATTTTCAACAGCTGGTGCCCTAGATTGCCTTTTGTGATGTTCTGGCATTGATTTGTTTATCAACTGATAACATGATTTAGTAAAAAAATTAATGAGTAGTACTTCATGTGGTTACTTCCATCCAGGGTTATCAATAAGCTTTTCTAGCAATAATCAGTTAGACTTCCCAGTGTTCTGAGGAAGAATTTGAAAGCATTTTTCTCAGGTAAATTTGCCACGATGGACTTTCAACCCATAGTAAGATAATCCTCTTTCCATGCTATCAAATGTTTTGGTCTTACTTGGGTAGACAAGATCTATACGATTTATGAATTAATTCCTAAAATCATATTGCAGCCTTGAAGTATACTGTATTGCTTGCATAAACAAGATTTGTAAGAACTTCAAAACACTTTGATAACTGTTTTGGAAAGATACATAGCCTTTTAGCTTTTTCTGATTCATGTTTCTTCTAATCTAGTAAGCTGTTCCATGTCCGGCCTGTAACTCAAGGAGATGTATATAGAGCTGAAACTGAAGAAATTCCTAAAATATTCCAGGTAAAAAGAAGTGTATTCTCATTTCTATTTAACTCTTGAAAAAGTTTGGTGCCTTCTTCAAAAAGTGTATGAAAATATGTAGTGCTTCAACAATAACACAGCAATATTCTTTTTCAGATTCTTTATGCTAATGAGGGGGAATGCAGGAAGGATTTGGAGGTAGAATCAGTACAGCCAACAGAGAAGACAAATTTTCTAAATCACAAAGGCCATGAATTTATTCCAACGTTATACCACTTTCCAGCCAACTGTGAGGCCTGTGCCAAACCTCTTTGGCATGTCTTTAAACCTCCTGCTGCCCTAGAATGTCGAAGATGCCATGTGAAGTGCCATAGAGACCACTTGGATAAAAAGGAGGAATTAATTGCACCATGCAAAGGTATACTCATGGGTTTTTGCGTTCTGTATTCTCAGCATGGTTTAGCCAGACCTGCTAAACAATCAGAGGCAAATAAAAGCACTTTAAAGTTTTCTAGTCTAGTTTTATTATTTTAGATGTGAAAGGTGCTGTTAACATAATAGACTGTTAACGCTGCTTCTGAACAGGTGGCTGTGGCAAGCCTCTGTAGGGAGGCCTTTGGTAGTGTAACTGATGTGGCTCTGCTGAGCGCCTTAAGAGCATGTGGTCCCTAGAGGTTTGTGCCCAAGTACTGGGCAGCTCCTTGGTTCCCAGACCATTCTGCCTGTGTACTTACACATGGCCCACATTAGGGATAATGTAGTGGCCACATCACCAAGCTTTGCTAAGACCTTCAAGAATGGTTCTTCAGCCACTTCACAGATTGGAATAGAGGCTGCTTCTCTGTGCTCCTGTGAAGCCGAGCATTTGGGGTATGTACTCTGGAATTCAGCCGTAAGGCACTCGCACAGCTTTCCAGCTTACGACTGCAATCAGTGTAAGTTTTTCTCATTTCTTGACTATTAACGTTAGACTCGAGAATCTTAATGCAGAGCAACAAATATTGAAAGAAACTGTATTCCTAATTTCCCCTGCTGTTTGTTGTCTTCCAAAAATATACAAACAAATCCAATACAAGTATGTATATAGGTGCCATTGTTCTTTCCAGTGGCACACCATGTATGTTATACACTTATTTTGATGAGTCCTGGTTTTCACTGAATTATCTTCCTCCTTTTACTTCTAGTGAGTTACGATGTAACTTCAGCAAGAGATATGCTGTTATTGGCATCCTGTCAAGATGAACAGAAGAAGTGGGTGACTCATTTAGTAAAGAAGATCCCTAAGACACCACCATCTACTTTTGTTCGTGCTTCTCCTAGAACTATGTCTACAAGATCCTCAGCAAATCAGTCATTCCGAAAAGTTGTTAAAAATACGTCTGGAAAAACCAGGTGAGAAATAAACTACAAAAGCTATGGATCTTTTTAACTAAAAAAATCCCTGTTTATAAATCCTATTTAATGTGAAATTGCAAAATTTCAGGAAGGAACAGACAGAATTCTCCTGCTAAATTTATTGGTTCTTTGGATTTGGAAAGGTACCGTAGAGATGGCAGTGCCTGGCCTGCCAGTGCATCTGAGGGAGCTGGTTGCATCTTTTCCTGTTTAAAGGCAAGGCTCAGTAGATGTATCAGCAATGGCATTTCACTGCAAGTATGATCCACGTAGTCATTCATGGATTGACTCATAGAGCTTGTGTAAGCTAGAAGTCTTCTGCAAATGGGGGTGAAATGAGAAACTTACAGATTCTCAGTCTGTTACGCCATTTCTTTTGGTACGAGGCAGCTTAAATACGAATTCCATTCTTTCTCCCTGCTTACTTACTCCCTCTCTTCTCCAATCCCAGCAGTTGTTTTTGTAAGTAGTTTGTGACCCTATGCATTAACCAGGGCAAGATTTAAAATACACCTTTTTTTTAGTGCTAGGTTACTGTAAGCTGATTTTTAACCTGCATTAGCTTCCTCATACAGTATGTGTGTTCCTTTCCCACAAAATAACTGATTAGGCCTACAGCATGAGGTAGGGAAGGAGTCTTCCTAGATTGGCAAGGCTACCAAAATAAATGTCGTGCAAACATTCCTTGCGTGTGAAGTGCAATAAAAGCAAACTTTTGCATGTAAAGAGACACTGGATATATCATGAAACCTCCTCCTGCAGAGGAGAGTAGGGAGAAAACCTGAAAGAATCAAAGGGTGCTGATTTTCTTGTCCCCATAATTAACACTAAAACGTAAGTGATTATAGTTTTGAGATACTAATATATTCAGTGAAGGCCCTCAAGATAATCTCATCCAGGAAAATTACTTTAGGCCTCGAATACAAAGCTGTCAATATAAAAACCAGCGATGTTGCGGGTAGTATTGTGTTAGAGATAATAATCAATGCAGCACCATGAGGAGGACATACAAGAAATCTGTGAGCAGCAGTTAAGAACACGTAGCTGTGCTAGAGTATTTGGGGGAGAAACCAGATTCACAAGCACTGAACAAAGTCTCAGTTTGCCGGTTATAGTTCACATACACATTGTATCAGCACAGTTGAGGTGTTTTGTTTTAATATATTTGGACTTGGGCAACTGATCAAGTTAATGCACGTTTAAAACGAAAAAAGCCCGAACAACCAAAACTCCTGTGCATCAGATGAGCTCTGGCAACTGCATGTGCGTGCTCTTAGCCCTAGAGAGAGCCTTTGCATGTCCTGCAAGTGAGAGAGGGTCGCCTTGCCTTTGCCATGAATACACCCATGATTGTTTACTCTTAATCGTTTACTTGTAAAGCTGCAGTAATACTATCCTCTGTCTGATCTCTGTCTTCATTTAATGGTGTTTGAAATTAAGAACAGTTCGTGGTAGATGGTGTAGGTATGATCTTAGTATTGCACCATGTCAATTGAAAAAATGCTTTGTTAATGTAAAATAAGGCATTTTCTTCACTGAAGCTCCTGGCAAACATGCACTACTAGTGTTATGAAGCTAATTTTTATATTTTGTTATTAATTGTCCGTTTTCTTCTTTGTTCCAGCTAACCACATGTACAGTGCTTAATGGAATCTCATGGGATGCGGTCTGAGAAGCAGGGCTTTTTTTAACCACACAGAGCAGTGCAGACGGGCTGTTGTTCCTTTCAACATAACTATCACAGGCTTCAGGGTTAAGATTGCTATTACTGTCTCCTCCTTGCTTTGGCACAAAAGCACGCTGAGGGTGTTTAATTGCGGGTTTGCCTAAAGGTAGATTAGTTTAATTATTACTATGTAATGCAAGTTAAAGCAAATAAAGCTTAGCTAGGTGTATAAAAAAAAAAAGGTGCTGCCTTTTGGGATTTAAAAAAGAAAGCCTGTCAATCATGATGAAATGCAGCCAACTTTCTTCATATCAGTGAAAGAAAAGGACTGTTTACCCTGGGAAGGGGATATTTATGTCAAGATGAGCATATGAAATGGAGTGGAAGAGGAAGGTTTCCTCAATGAGAAGGACTGCAATTGCTTTCAAGACTCAAAGTCGTGCTCTTGAAGACTGCAGAACTAGCTTGAAAATGAAGCCTTATCACTTGAACTTCAGTGCCTTCACTGCAGAGTTCTTAACGGCCTTAATGCTAACCACCCACCATGGAATGGATCAGAGTGTTAACTATTTTGCATTATGCTTTACAAAATACTGATTCAGCAGGTTTGTAAAGGGGGGAAAACAAGTAATTGCCTTTAATCTATGCATTTTTGCCAAGCCATACCGAATTATTTTACTATTAGAGGCATTAGAAACTAACAGTAAAAAGAACCACCAAGTTTGGAAGCATATTTTGGGGTACATCATTTCTATAACTGTATAATGTATTGCCTTACAATTTTAAGTGATAATGTACATTAACGAACATTTAAGAAATATATGCACTGTTTGAACTGTAAATTATTCTTAGAACACTTTTACTGGGTTATACATTGTCCTTTTAGTGCCTTAATTTGAGATAATTGTATTATTGCCATGTCAATAAATGTAGAAATCTAAAACTAAACAAAGGAAACCTCTAAAAAAACTATTGCATATCAGTGGTTTTTACTGAATTTTAATTGGTTGAAGTATTGTAGATGCTAGATGCGTTTTCTAAATTAAGTACAATCTTTGAATGAAAATTCCTCTTACAAAGAAAGACTGATTCTGGTTCATAAGCCAAGAGATGTGTGGGCAATGCAAAACAAAAAAAGAAAGCATGTAACGCAGAAGCTCCGGGTAATTCAGGAATTTCAGCAAATGCTGTCAGACTCTTGCTTTGTAGCAGGAATACATTCATGGTATGGGCAGTATGGTTTTATTTTATTTTATTTCTTAACCAAATACCTCCTCAGTAATTTATAATGGCTTTGCAGTTGTATATTAAATAAGAAGCACTGGAAAACTGATGCGTCCTTGGGACGATTTGCATGTTTCAAGTGGTATTGAAAGCCGCACTGATGGATATGTAATAATAAACATATCTGTTCTTAATATGGCAATGACTCTGTGCTCATTTAATGAGAAATAAAGTAATTTATGGAAAGACCCTTTTGAAAATGACTGGCATGGTGTTTTCTCCTGACTGCAGCTTATACATCTTTCTGAGCATTCAGACATTTGCAACAGCTTCCTAGCACAAGGTGCATGCATTTGCAACGTAATGCCTAGGGGACTCAAACTTTTTTTTTTTACTATTCTACATGAATAAGTAAATACTGTATAAAATAGCTTTTTTCATTCCCTTATTCTCATGGTCTGCTGGAGGACCCTAATTTATATTTATTATTCAACCACCACCCTGAGCTTGCCTTGTGATTGCTTCGTCCCTCACAATGCAGGTTTGGAGCTTCAGAAATCCCACTTATTTGGGGCAGGGAACCCTGTTCAAAAAAACTATGGGTGTTGGTTTTTTTGGTGGAGGGTTTGGGTTTTGGTTTTGGTTTGGTGTGGTGGTTTGGTGGGGTTTTTTAGGTTTCTTTTTTTGAACAGCCTGTGCATCCCATAAAGCCAAGTGTCCATAAACCTCCCTGGGTAATCCGCCAAGGCCTGTAGAAAAACGGAGTAGTAAGGACAAATTAGATGTGAATGACTGTGTGTCCTTTGAAGGTCATGGAGCTGGGAAGTACAGATAAATAGAAGCAGGTGATGTGGTAATTTCAGAAAGTTCCTCTATGTTGAGCTTGCTGTATCAGAAATATCAGCAATTTCAAAGCTGTGGCTGGACCACACTAAAGACAACCTTCCAGATTGCCAATCGCAGTGACTGTTAGCTTGCCAAGCAAAAAGGGATAATTAGGACCTGCTTTAATCTCCAGAGGGGAAATAATACAGTAAAATGGTTAAATGTATCTTAGTTAAATACATACATTATTATAGGAAATTTAGAGCAATAGAAAAGGCCTATGGTCAGGTCATTCCCCAGACCCAGATTAGGTTTTGGATTGCTTTTCTGCTTTCCTTTATGTGTAACTGGCTACCTCAAAAACTCTTGCTTGAATAATTTCTTAATAAAAAAAAAGTCCTGTGTTGTAGTTCCGTGTTTTATGAATCTGAAAAATAGGATAAAAACTGTTAAGATAGATAATGACTAGTGGGAAGAGGGAAGGATTGTGGAAAAAACAGGTTTGCTTTACAGATTGGCACGTACTATCATTGCCATAGCTTTTTAGCAATGCTGACATCTTGCAATTCTTTTTAAATGCTGATTTTGCTTGGGAAAGTGGCAGCAGACATAATGAAGTGTAAAATTAGATTGACTTGTATGTCTGGGATAAGTTGCAACTGAAATGCTTTAATAATAAAGTCTAGACATGCAAATTACAGTTCGTGTGCCCCAGTATACTGCTGGTGGTGCTTGTTTACTGTAAGCAAGGTGCCTATCTACGGGAACAGCTATACTTTGAATAACAAATTCAGCCAATTCTGCTGTTAGGAAAAGTAATGCCTGCGATCTCATCTGTGCGAGCAGGTATTTCAGGAGAACAAAAAGTAATTACTAAACTTGCAGCAAGCATCAGCTTTACCATCCAGAAAAAAAATCATCAGTGTGCTGCTATGTTCACTACAGCTCCACTTTTTCTAGCTCTTGCCTTATTTTGCTTAGCTTTTACCCTTGTCACTAATGATTCCTCTTTCAGGAACGTTTTGCCTACACTCACCTAATACAGTGCCAGAGAGTCACCAAGAGATGTGAATGTGTAAGCTATGAAGAGCTCACATAAATCAACCTGGCTTTGTTCGTATCAGCGAAGCTGCAGTTTTACACACGGTTTCAGAAATTGAGACATCTGGATTCTTATATGATCATTTTTTGTTGATTTGCCTCCACCGTTTTTCCATTTTCTATTACTGTATTAGGTTGAAAGTTTATTAACATTGGCAGGATGCCACAATCTGCTCTTTTTCATTCCCTCTTCAAGCCCCCCT